CCATGTGAAGAAAAACACACAAGAGATTCCTACCCACTTAATAACAGAAGAAATTTACTTTCCACCAACGATCTTGAAACAATCATATGGCCTGGAGGATCATCAACCATCCCAAGAGGTTCAAAGATGCAATTGAGTACTAGTTCTGAAATAAAACTAAGAATTGGCGTTCCAGTGAAAAATGGGTTCTTCGAACTTGTGCAAATGAACCATGATATTCAAACCAATCGAACATATTTCACAGGCTTCTGCATAGACGTATTCGAGGCTGCAATTAGCGCATTGCCCTATGAAGTAAATTATGAGTTTGTTCCATTTGCGATTGGCATTGATGGAAGTTACAATGATCTTGTTCTCCAGGTATGCTTAATTTGAAATTAAAATTTTATATACGTCTGTAATTGTATGCTAGTAACTTATATTTAATGATTTAATCTTTCTAATTTTTAATTTTTCGTTTTCCTGCCACACACTTTTGCATATTGGGGAATGTATATTAACTAGACATTCGATGCTCTTGTTGGGGATATCACAATCACATCGGAGAGATCTCAGTATGTTGATTTTACAATACCATATAGTGACTTAGGTGTGGGGATGCTAGTATCAAATGAAAAAGAAGACATGTGGTTTTTCTTGAAACCTCTTTCGGCTGATCTTTGGATCACAAGTGCGGGTTTCTTTATCTTGACCGGTTTCGTTGTGTGGGTAATTGAGCGTCCTGTCAACCCAGAATTCCAAGGCACACCTTCGCTGCAAATTGGAACCATATTATGGTTTGCCTTCTCAACCGTTGTGTTTGCTCATAGTAAGTGCACTATATCTCCCCACTTCTTTCAATTATTCAAGTTTACTGCTAATTAGTTTTCAGTCTCTATGAAACAACCCTTGTGTTTTCTGATTAATTAACACAGATATGAGAAAGAGTAGTATTATGAATTATATTTTTCTGACTCAAATTCCATTCAGATGAAAGAACGAACTCAAATTACGAATATAGATGCTGTAGTTGACGATCAGTCTTGATTTAGTTGATTTGCTAAAATCACCTGGAAATGAAATTTTGTCTTTTTGTTGCAGGGGAGAAGTTGTTAAACAATTTAGCAAAGTTTGTAGTGATCATATGGGTGTTTGCTGTGCTTATATTGACTTCCAGTTACACAGCAACTCTGACATCAATTATGACAATTAACCAAATACAATTAAACTCAAGAGGGAACTATATAGGTTACCAAGCAGGTTCAATCACCCACGGAGTGGTAAAGAACTTGAATTTCAAAGGTCATAAATACTATAATTCAGTTGAAGAATATGCTGACGCTTTATCAAGAGGAAGTAAGCATGGTGGTGTCTCTGCTATCGTTGACGAGGTTCCATACATTAAGATCTTCCTTGCACACTATCCTACTGGCTACTCCATGATTAAACCCGAATCTAGCACCAATGGTTTTGGTTTTGTGAGTAACCTCCCTTAAATTAAGTTATGCATTAATCAAATGTTGTATTTCCGCTAAAACTAGCAAGATTAAGCATGATATTTTGGCCACATAAGATCTTAACATTTATAGTTTTCTGTAGTTTTTTATGATTTTCCGATTTGATCCTTGTATTTCTGATTCTGACAATTAAGTGCATGTACTTAAGCTTAAATCAAATCTAATATGTTACATATGTAGTCAAATGTGGCAACTTGGAAAATTGACGTGAAAAGAGCATGCATGCTAGGGCTAAACCGATAATTTAGGTCGGTCGGAAATGGCATGCACATGCTAAGCACATTATCTTTATGATTATGTCCATCCATTTAATTACACATATGCATTGTTGATTACTTCGTTGTTCATCTTTTTTTGTATATGTAGGTTTTCCGTAAAGGTTCGAAATTGGTCCATGATATGTCAATGCAAATTCAACAAATGAGAGAAGAGGGAAAGCTTATAGAGATGGAGAAGGTCTGGTTTCATAAGAGAACAATTCTCATGTTTGACAACACAACGAGTGATCCCAATACTCTAAACTTCCATACCTTTCGTGGTTTATTTCTCGTTACTGGGGTTTCTTCAGCTTTTGCTCTTTTCATATTCATAATATTCCCACTCAAAGAAAAATGGTATGCCGTGAAGAAATTCAGATTTAGATATCGGGTTCGAGAAAAGGTGCAGCGTGTAAGGAAGTTCTTCTCTCATAAAGTTTCCAATGAAAACGAAGAAAACCAGTAGACAGATAGTGCATGAAGCTAAGTATTAAGGTATGTAGAACTAGATATTGCTCCCCATTGTAGTCGCTGAGGTTGTACTGGAGCTGTGTGAAATCGTGATTTTGCAATGCTAAGGTTGTGTTTTATTAGGTGTATATTGTACAAACAGATAAAGTCACTTAAAGCAAAATACTCGCTTCTCTTTTGTTACGCATAGGAGTGACACGCAGTTTATTCTTTAATCTGTCATCATGCCTCTTGTAAAAGACAAGAAGAATATCCTCTATCAATCTCCCTATAAAGGGCATTATAGTAATTCCAAAGGTACAGCTATCCTAATCAATCGGGGGTGCATCCACTAAAACATGGTATCCTAATCTTGTTTTAAACTATTCAATGCAATTTTGCTTATATATATATATATATGCAAAGCAGAAGATCCTCAGAAAACGTACCTGATGTTTGCGAAACTATCAGATTGCATCCTTAAAGTTTTTTTGTATCACTCATGGTCCCTAATGTTAATATGGGTGCTCTTAAATAATCCCTCAATCAAAAAGATCGTTAAATCCCTATTTTATGAGGTATATAATTGTCAAATCAATCCCTTGACCTCTCCAATGCCTTAGACCCATTTGCTAATCAACAAATATCTATTTTTTATTATCCACAACTTCACCTTTTATGCTTCCTGGGTGCTAGGATAGCACCTTAGTAAAGTCGTTCGTCAAAGAGCACTACTAAAAAAACACACACTATGTACTGATTCAGATTTGTCCCCTAAGTTAAGTTTTGAGACAATAAATTGTCTCCATTAACCAATAGAGACTATGCAGCCACTATTTTTAAATCAGTATCCTAGTTTGGGGTTGCTATTGTTTTTTGGGTACCATTTACTTAGTCAGTCATTCCCTATTTTCCATTAAAGAAAAAGCTTTTAAGAAACAAGCCATTTGAGTTAAGCCAAGCCATTTTCGATGGCTCCAAGCTTGGGATCTGATATTTGGAATGATGTCTATTATATTAGAGACTAATCATATATAACATATCAGTTTGCAATTGTGTACTCTTCAAACAAGACAGATCTTAGTTTTAGTATCTTCTCCCTTAGAAATGCAAATACATCATTCCCCATTCATATAATACTTTTAATATTGATAAGAATGTGTATTGTATTTTAATAATATGCACTTATTCAAATACGATTTGGGGGCTGATTTTCATATTATTCTATGGACTTTATGTAATTCATCAATGTTATGTATTTGCCTTGAATGAAAACTGAACACAGCAATCCAATATTTCATATTATCCAAACAACTTTACACAGCCCATGCTTCATATCGATATGATCCAAAAATATTTACACAGCAGATGCATGTTTTGTACTATCATTTTTGTACAGGTAAGGCAAAGCATTCACAGACACAAAATATGAGATTTTGGGAGACTGGTGTGAAATTAAAAAGGTAATTGTCTTTAAATCCCAAATTTATATTAGACACTACTGTAGATTGGTGAAGATCACCTGTGATTAAAAGTTGGAGCACCCCATGCGTTATTTGCTTATTGTCTTATCACTACTACAAATTCATACAACCACGACACAAAATAGACGACGGTATAACTTAAAACCATCGTCGTATTTTAAAAGAAGGCGGGATTTACAAAACCGTCATGATATGTCACCTTATACACCACTAAAATCGAGTTGGGCTGTCTCAATTTTTAAAACACGACGGTTGTGAATTACAAATGCCGTCTTTTAAAACACGTTAGGCTGCTTGAGAGTGAGCAAACGTCGTCTTTTCAAAACACGATGGACTGAGTGAGTTTAGCCTCGACCTAAAAAATTTCAGATTTCCCCCCAAGATCGAAAACATCCCTCCCTCAACTCTCGCCCTCTCTAAACTCTCTTAAACATTCTCTGAAACACTTGTCTCTCTAAATCTTCCTCATCTCGCTCCCTCCCTCAACTCTCGCCCTTGACCTAGAGTGGCTGCTTAAATTCTGCGGTCGTCGTCACAGAGCTGGCCGTCGTCAAGCGTCGGACGGTGACTCTGAGGACCACACGAACCCCTAAGAAGACCTCCAAGAGAGACTCCTCCGTCGAAATCAACAACCCAACTTCGTCGTCATATAGCTCTTTCTCTTTGTCTGTCGTCTGCTCCACTGCGACTTTACTCAAGGGTTCTTATACGAAAACCAAGTTTATTATTTCTGTCTTAGCTTTGGGTTGGCTCGCATCGGCTTCAGAACCTCAACTTCGCCACCATGACTGAGGTATCTGCCAGACTCAAGCTAAGCTCATGTGTAATTTTATATGAGATGCTTGTGTTTGGGTTTTTTTTCCTTCTGTGTTATTGGTGATTTTTTGTCCAAATTTTACTTATTTGGGTCTCTTTAGGTATTGGGAAAAGTAAGATAATATAAATTGGGTGAATTCTGGGAGTAATTTGTTGTTGTCCTATGTTGTTTTGGTTTGTCTGGATGCTGGGAAAATGAAGGAAAAGTATGAAATTTGTATATGGGTTTGTTGTTTAATTGGATTTAGATCTGATGGATATTTTTGGGGATTCTTCATATATCTTTTCCTCTGTTTCTTTCTCTCTCTCTAACTTTCTTTTCCTCTTTTTATGTCTTCAAATTTATTTCTGGTGAATGATTTGTAAGTTTTGATGCAAGGGAATTATATGTCAATTTCCTGGATTATATCATTATCTTCTTTGTGAAAGAAAGCAAATTGCTACGATTTTTAGCTTTGATTTTTGTTTCTTAATATGTCTTTTGGTTTCTGCTGCTGTCTTACATGTGTTTGATGTCTCTTTGGTGAGGAGTTCCGAAGGTAAGATCAATTACTGATTTTTCTAGATTTATTTTGCTCCATTTAAATAAACTGAGATTATAAATTGAAGTAATTAGAAGGTAGTTGCTCTTGCTTATGTCTAATGTTGAAACGAGATAATAACAAGACTGTGAGAGGAGGATTAGTAAGAGGTTATCTGCTGGGGCTTGCTACTTGCCAATGAGAAGAAAAATCTAAGTCATATTCTTTTGTTACTGTCGTTTGTTTTTGTCCTATGGTTTGTATGCCTCGAGTGTGGAATGATTTTATCTTTCCAAGGAGATGGATTTGCTATGTATTCTTTGCAACACAGGGAGTCTAAGATTAGTTCAAGGACCCTTGTTTCTTCTGAGTAGTAAGGTACGACCCTTTGGTTTTATATGGAAAATATTTATATATATATATATATATAGCCAGCATCTTTTGGTTGTATGCTCAAAATCCTCTTTCTTTTTATTTCTTTTTAAACTTTTACAGATCTTCCTCGCAATTGATTTGGCTTTGGACTGCAAAGATACAGAGACAGATCTTTGGAATATAATATGTAGGGATGAGTACATGGCATATGATGTATCTTTTTGGTTGCTTGTATATGATTGTTTTTAAGTATAGTGACATCCACTCTGTTTCTCTTTCTTTTTGGTTTCTTTGATTGCATTGTTTCATCCATTTTGTTTTTCTCTTCCACCTTGCTACAGAAACAATTACTGTTATGGCATATTTTTTTCTCGTATGATGTATCATACTCTTTGGTTTACTTAATTAACGAACTCGATTTCTTGAATTGCACCTATACTCTTGCTCACCTAATGATGGTTTTTTGCAGACAAAACCAATTGACTTGTCTGATTAAAAGAGCTCTGTGTGCGATGTAGAGTCAGTCTCATATCCCATGCTAGATTTTTTAGTCTCTCTCTCTCTCTCTCTCTCTCTCTTTGTTATGCTCTTTTGTCTTTGCAACAATGGCATATTAGAACCATAAAGATGGTATCTAAAGGGATTTCCTTTTTCTGCCAATCTGTCTAAACAGTTTCATTAAATGGTTTTTGTATTTGTGGTCATCTGAAAAAAAAAAAAAATGTTGGTAACGTTTGGATTTAGCATGACAGATGCTAATCAGTGTGAAGGTGCCAGTGCAAGGGAAGGGGGCTGAGGAAATAGTCTCAAGAAGTATCTAGGAAGTATTATGTAATAGAGCAAAGATTGGTTGACTATGTAATAACTATTGAATTTTCAAGTTTTATGAAAGAAATAATTTTTGAGCATATATATTCGTTACTAAAGCATTATAATTGGTTTTCTAGTTAAAATCGTTGTATAGAATCATAGGAAACAAAAACCTAAATGTAACAGCTTGGGAACGCATTAGAAGATAGATTTAAAGATAATAAAACGATGGTTTTATTGGAAAAATCGTCGTCTGTAAATATAATCAACGACCTTTTTTAACACAATAATGTCGTCTTTATATACAATCAACGACGCTTTTTAACAAAAAACTGTCATCTTTCTATACAATTAAAGATGGTTTTAAATAAAAACCGTCGTATTTTGCCAACAATTAACGATGGTTTTAACAAAAACCGACGTCTTTACATATAATAAACGACAATTCTTTTAAAAAAACCGTCGTCTTTACATATAATAGACTACGGTTTTGAGTAAAAGCGTCGTCTTTACAAATAATAGACGACAGAGATTTACCGTCGTGATTTTATGCATCAATAGATGTCGGTCGATTTCACGACGGTTGAAAAACCTGATACACGACGGTGGATTACCGTCGTCTATTTTGATTTTTGTAGTAGTGTATATCCGAAAATGAATAATAACCCTGTCATGCCTCTTGTAAAAGACAAGAAGAATATCTTCTATCAATCTCCCTATAAAGGGCACTATAGTAATTCCAAAGGTACGGTTATCGTAATCAATAAGGGGTGCATCCACCAAAACATGGTATCCTAATCTTGTTTTAAACTATTCAATACAATTTTGCTTATATATATATATATATATCCAAGAGAATCTCTGGACACTGAGAACATTGCGCGCTTGTTGTCAGCCTAACTCATATACTCTCTATTAATCAGTCTATTAAAACAATCTTGGTGCCAAGAAAAATTTCAGACCAAAAATATGCAACAAACATTGAAAGGCAAAGCAGAAGATCATCAGAAAGAAAAGGCAGAATTGGAAATATGGGATTTGTGGCAGCCCTACGAATTGGTCACATTCAGTCATCTGATGTTGAACGATATCTATTGGAATAGCCACTCTAGGAGGATCAAGGCGGTTCATCACCAATCTCTCTCATCATCCATCATCAGAGATGGTCTCCGTGAAGGACGGAATCAGGAGTTTTTCAACGGATTGGCTAGCTATATTCATTAGCTAAAAGTCTAATGATCATTTTTTTATACTTACAATTTCTAGTCTTTGTAGAAATGAAACTAAATCATATAAACCACGTTAGTTTATAGCTAAATTGACTAATTTGCAATAATAATAAAAAATTCTTTCAATACAGACGAAATTGGGGAGGAAAAATTGAACCTTAGACAAGGGTAAATGGTCTTAATTATTTGAGCTACAAGCTCCTTGGAATTTCCAATAAGCTTTAACTTAAGACAAATACATATTAAATGCAACCAAAAACCAGATATTATCAAAATGAAAATATGTTCAACAACATAATTGAAAGTGTACTTATTTTAATGTGTATTTTTATTGTTGCCATGCAACTAAATTAATAAAGAATTGAATTTTTTTGGACTTTAATAGGTTAATGCATACTGGGGTATATTTGAAAGAAAGCAAATATATATGTTTAATATTTTTTTCCCAAAAACCTCACTGGCCTACAGTGTAGCCCTTGTGGTAGTTCCGCCCATCTCCTTGAGCACTACCATTTCATCATCAGATATGAGAGCGGTATTTATACAAGGGAGGGCAAAGGGTCATCATCTTCTTCCACGTGGGTGGCTTGAGTGAATTTGTGGGCATTATAGGAAGATTTGGAAGAGGAGGGTTGTGTTGGGAGGAAGAAATGACATGACCAAAAAAAATTTAAAGAAGAAGAAGATATTCATATGATTCAGCAAGTTGTAGGCACAGTCAGTTCCCACATGAAGCATTTGAACCCAAACAGTTTTTGTTATCAACTCAAATCACTCAAATTTTTTATATCATCTTAATCATGTCCAACTCCTAGTTGAGATTTAAATAACAGAGTTTAGCTTTTGGGGAAGAAGAAGAAAATGAAAAGTTGCAGAGAAGAATAGAGTCGTTGTGAGAGAGAGAGACTTTGTTACTGAGCACTAATCATTGCAATGCACACACTCCCACACTGATTCATTCCAACGTAAAGATCCTATTACAATGCAAAAGGAATGAAATCCAGCCGTACAATAGTGTCAGAAATATGAGCTGGGCACTTGGCACAAAACTGAGATATATGAGTCTTACAGTATGTGATTGTATCTAAGCCCTACACTTGTCTAGCTAAAAAGATTAAACCAGGAAATAATTTACACTTCAACATTCCCTTCTAAATTGTTAACTGGTTTAACCCCTAGCAGCCCTCTCAAATAGTTGAATCGATCCTTTGGTAGTGGTTTTTTGAATATATCAGCTATTTGCTCCTCAGACTTTCAATATCTCAAGTCTATAACTCCTTCTTGCAAAGCTTCACGAATGAAATGATACCTGCGATTGATGTGCTTTGTCTTTTGATGGAATACAGGATTTCTTGTGATTGCAATGGCAGAGGTATTATCTACCATCAGTGGTGTTGCCTCTGTCTGTAGCTCTCCAAAATCCCCAAGCACAAACCTCAACCATATAGCCTGAGTAGTTGCTTCACTTGCACTCACATATTCTGCTTCTGCTGTGGAAAGAGCTACACTATGCTGCTTGATTGATGCCCAAGAAAACACACCACTGCCGAAGGAGAAAGCATAGCCAGAGGTGCTTTTAATGTCATCTTGGCTTCCACTCCAATCATTATCACAATATCCTATTAATATAGCCTCATTTCCCTTCTGATATTCAATACCATAGTCTATTTTCCCTTGTATGTACCTCAAGACCCTTTTGGTTGTCCCGTAGTGTTTCTTGGTAGGACTGTGCATAAACCTTGCCAATAAGCTAGCTGCAAACATTATATCTAGCCTTGTGGCAGTTAGATACAATAGACTTCCCACAATTTGTCTATATTGATTCTCATCTGCAAGTTCACTACCATCATCTCTGCATAATTTATCACTTGTCACCAGAGGGATACTAACAGGCTTACATTGCTTTAACCCAAACTTGCTTAGTAGTGCCAATGCATACTTCTTTTGGCTGATGAAAATGCATTTTTCAGTTTGAACCACAGTCATTCCCAGAAAATGATATAGAAGCCCCAGATCAGTCATTTCATACCTTCTCATCATCTCTGATTTGAAGTCAGCAATCAGTTCCTCACTACTTCCTGTATACACTATGTCATCAACATAGATTGATACAATCAATGTTACAGAATTTTCCTTGGTCTTGCAATACAAGGTTGCCTCAAGTGTGCTTCTGATATACCCACAACTAAGAAGCTATGCATTTATTTCTTCATACCAGGCCCTTGGTGCCTGTTTTAAACCATATAGGGCTTTCTTTAGCTTGTAAACTTGTCCTCATAGTTTTTAACCACAAAGCCATCGGGCTGGTCTACATACACCTCTTCCTTAAGCACCCCATTTAGGAAAGCATATTTGACATCTAACTGATATAACTTCCAACCCTTTTGAGCTGCCAAAGCTATGAGAGTCCTAATAGTGTCTAATCTAGCCACAGGAGCAAATGTTTCATTGAAATCGATTCCAGGCTTTTGTGCATAGCCCTTGACCACCAACCTAGCTTTGTGTTTCTGTATTGAACCATCAAGATTCAACTTGGTTTTATAAACCCATTTAACACCTATCACAGGCTTCTCCATTGGTCTGTCCACTAGTTCCCATGTCTTATTCTTCTCAATCATCTCCATCTCAACTTCCATTGCTTGTTGCCAAGCTTTGTCTTTGGAAGCTTTCTGGCTCAATGATGCTCATATTGCATCTAGCATAGATCTCAGTTATATCTCTGAGCTTCACTGGTGTAGAACTTGGTGATACATTTTGTGAGCCAACACTATGTGAACCTGTGATCATCTTAGTTGAACCAGAGTCATTTTCAATCTGAGTTTCTGGTGTAGATGGAGCTGTGACTTCGTATTCCTCTTCAGTGATACTAGGATTGTCGTCGAAACTCATAGGAACTAAGACATGCTCAACATTCTGCTTGTCCCAATCCCATAATAAACCACACTTTTGGCAATAGTAATCTTATTAGTCTGCAGATTGTACACTCTATAGCCCTTTTCACATTTGCCATAACCAACAAAGATACACTTGACAGCTGAATCCTCCAGTTTAGGTCTCAACTGACTATGCACATGACTAAAGCAAATAGAGCCAAACACCCTCAAATGTTTAATTCCAGGCCTTCTACCACTAAAAGCTTCAAATGGAGTTGAATTATCTAAAGCTTTTGTGGGATATCTGTTTTGAATGTAGACAGCTGTATTCAATGCCTCTCCCCATAACTTGTATGGTAGTTTCTTCTCATGTATCACTGCCTTACTCATCTCTACAATAGTCCTGTTCTTTCTCTCAGCAACCCCGTTTTGCTGAGGTGAATAAGCCACAGTTAGCTGCCTTTCCATGCCTATATCTTCACAAAACTTCAGAAATTCAGTGGAGGTATACTCTCCACCTCTATCACTTCTAAGCTTCTTGATCTTTTAACCACTTTGCAACTCCACCATAGCCTTAAACTTCTTGAAAATGTTGAACACTTTTGACTTGTACTGCTTGAAATACACCCAACACATTTTGGTGCAATCATCAATAAAGGTAAAAAAAATATCAGTTTCCGCCTATAGTTGTAGACTGCATTGGTCCATAGACATCCGAGTGAATAAGCTCCAATGGCACACTTGCTTTCCAAGTCTTCTCTTTACCAAAAAATTCTCTATATGCTTTCCCCATTGCACATCCTTTGGCAAATTCTCTCTGCATCCCCAATTTCTGGCAGTTCATACACCATCTCCTTTTGTTGTAACAACTTCAAGCTTTGAAGATTGAGGTGGCCAAACCTCTTGTGCCAACACCAAGTAGTGTCTTCAGTGGTTGTTGTCATAGCTACAGAGTTCATGTGTTTCAATGAAAGTGGGAAACATCTATTCCCTGTCATTGGAACTCTAGCAACAAGATGCTTCATTGATCTATCATCAAATATGTCCACCAATGAATTTCCAAACAACAGGAAATATCCGTGCTCAACCATCTAGCCAACACTAAGCAGATTTTCATCAATACTTGGTACAAGCATAACTTCCTTGATGTGCCTAGGCCCATATTTAGTGGCAATCACTAAGGTACCTTTACTAGTGGCTTGAACTAGTTCTCATGTGCCCATTTTTACCTTTGCAGTGACATTAGTATCAAAATTGATTAGAAGGGATTCATGTGAAGTCATGTGATTGCTACACACACTATCCACATACCACACATCATTGTTTTTCACTACAGAGGCAGCATGGCATGCATAAAACATTGTTCCTTCTTCCTCCATATGAGTTGCATAGTTAGCTGTTTGAGCTGGTTTTCCTCTGCAATCCTTTGCCAAGTGACCAAATTTCACATTTGTAGCATTTGGGCTTGCCTTTGAACCAACAAGCACCATAGTGAAGCTTGTCACATGTCTTGCAAGGATCCTTGGCCCCTTCATTCTTGTTTTCAAGCTTCGCATCCCATTTCTTCCCTTTTTGTGATTTCCAGCTCTTCTTAGACTTTGAACTTCCACCTTGTCATGTGTTTGATTGTTCTCTGGGACTTACGCTTAGGCTAGAGAATGCCTTTTCTGGCATTTTCTCAGTTTGTCTTTGCAATCGTTGTTCATGGGATTTCAAGGAGCCAATGACCTCCTAAACCCCTATAGACTCTGTATCCTTTGTTTCCTCTATCACTTCAGCAATAGAATCATACTCTCTGGACAAACTAATCAAAAGCTTATGAACAATCCTTTGATTAGTAATCTTCTCACCATATGCCTTCATTTGATTTACTAACTCAAGCAATTTTGTTATATATCCAGATAAGGATTCATCGTCATGCATACGAGTGTATTCAAATTCCCTTCTAAGTGCTTGTAGGTTAACATATCTTACCTTCTTATCTCCTCTAAATTCTTGCTGCAAAACTTCCCAAGCTGCTTTGGCCGACTCTTTCAGTGCGATTCTGGGAAAGATATCATCAGAAACTGCATTTTGAATCAGTCCCAATGCCTTAGCATCCTTTGCAACATTTTCTTCTAGTGTGAGCTTTTGAGCTGCAGTTAGAGCAACATCGCCTTCCTCCTTCATAGGTTGTTCATACCCATGTTCAACCATATCCCAAAGCTTGTGCGATTTGAAAATCGTGCACATTTTGATCCTCCAGAAATCATAGTTGCTTGCATTGAAAATGGGAGCACATAGCTCTCCCATTCCAGATCTAGCCATGTGAGACTAAACGCACGAGATAGGGATTATCTTCGTTGGATCTCTACAATTTCACAACGCCCAAATTCATATTCGAACTTGCGCTCTCGATACCATGTTGAGATTTCAATAACAGAGTTTAGCTTTTGGGGAAGAAGAAGAATATGAAAAGTTGCAGAGAAGAATAGAGTCGTTGTGAGAGAGAGGGTTTGTTACTGAGCACTAATCATTGCAATGCACACACTCCCACACTAATTCATTCCAAAAGATCAAATTACAATGCAAAAGGAATGAAATCCAGCCGTACAATAGTGTCAGCAATATGAGCTGGACACTTGGCACAAAACCGAGACATATGAGTCTTACAATATGTGATTGTATCTAAGCCCTACACTTGTCTAGCCAAAAAGATTAAACCAGGAAATAATTTACACTTCAACAACTCCTTCAAAACATCCAACATAGAGGGTCGGGCTCCTGCGTACCACTTGAGGATGCTAGTGAGGCGTACTGTCCTTTAATAGATGGGTCCATAAACTGCTTAAGCTTCGACTTCTGAAAAATTTGCAACACCAAAAGGATCAATTCTTTTATTCTTCAAACCCTTAAACCTAATACTTTATACCCACCTGATTGCGAGGATTGTCATGGTTGGCCTTTAAATACTCAAATGTAGCAATTGGACCGCTGCCTTCAAGATTGTCTACATCCATACATCTCAGCTCTCGTTAGCGTCCGGCTGGTCATTAACTGGAGCAGCACAACATCCATCCCTTATATGTCTCCCTCAGGAGACTATTGAACTGTAAAATATTATAAAATAATTAAAATTCCATTATAGTGCATGCATATAGATATTAATTTGAAAATAAACATAAATTACTTACCAGTACTAGCGTTGGATAAACTTTTAAATTACTTACCAGCACTCAATAGTAAAAAAAAACCTTTGCGCCACCAACTTTTGCGCGACGAAAAAATATTTGTCGCGCAAAGTAAAGCCAAAACTTCATCACTAAAAGTCTTACGCGATTAAATTTTGCGCAACGAAACACAATCGTCGCCCAAAGTCACTTTGCGCGACTAAATTTTGCGCAATGAAACACAATCGTCGCCCAAAGTCACTTGGCGCGACAAATCTTGGCGCGACGACAAAACATCGTCGCGCAGAGTCTTTACAAAAATAAATAAAAATAAAAAATTATTTTTTAAAATCTTTGCACGACCAATTACTAAACTTCGTTGCACAAAGTACTGCGCTACCAAGAGTGGTTCATCGCGCAAAGTCGTTACAAAAATAAATAAAATAAATAAATTATTTTTTAAAATCTTTGCATGGCTTTGTGCGACCAACCACTAAACTTCGTTGCACAAAGTTTTGCGCTACCAAGTATGGTTCGTCGCGCAAAGTCTTTACAAAAATAAATAAATTATTTTTTAAAATCTTTGCATGACGTAATCCAAATATTTCGTCGCCTAAACCAATTTATTTTTGTTTTTTATTTTGTATGCATAACACTTAAGAAATTAACGGTATATATATTTATTAAGTAGCTTTAAATTTATTATTTTAGTTTGGATCGGATTTTTGTTAGAAAAATATATTATTGTAGTTTGGATTGGGTTTTTGTTAGAAAATATATATTTTAAATTGACGATCGAATTAGTTCATTGTATTCATATAGGGTCAAGGAGTGTAGCTGTAAAAAATCATCAAAATCAGAGTTGAAATAACCGTTAAATTGTGATTTTTCGTTTATAACCGTCGAAATGTTTTGCCCCGTTACTTGATCTCTGAATGTTTATTTTTTTCGATTTTTGGCGTATATGATCTCGAAGTATAAACAAACAAGTTTGACGATTGGATCGTTGAAACTAGTTTCGTAGAATGCGTATGCCATCAAAATAATATATTCACTAACAATTAAGAGTTTATTTATACTTTATTTAAATATAACATAAGATTTTGTGGTATCCACTAGTGTAAATATTTTAAATTGACAATCGAATGCAGTCATTGTATTCATATAGGGTCAAGGAGTGTAGCTGTAAAAAATCATCAAAATCAGAGTTGAAATAACTGTTAAATCTTGATTTTTTGTTTATAACCGTTGAAATGTTTTGTCCCGTTACTTGATCTCTGAATGTTTTTTTTTTCCAATTTTTGGTGTATATGATCTCGAAGTATAAACAAACAAGTTTGACG